GGTGGGGGCGTGGCAGCGAGGGTGGGGGCGGGGCGCGGGGTGGGGGCGGGGCGGGGCGCGGGGCGTGCAGGGCCACGCGGGCTGACTTCAGTGCGCCTGGCCGGCCGGCAGGTCTACTACAGCCTGTGGCGGAAGCTCCTCAAGGCGTTCTGGTGGCTGGTGGTGGCCTACACCATGCTGGTGCTGGTGGCCGTCTACACCTTCCAGTTCCAGGATTTTCCCGCCTACTGGCGCAACCTGACCGGCCTCACGGATGAGCAGTGAGTCTTGGGCGCGGTGGGGAGGGGGCGGCGGCTGCCGCGCTGGCGGTACTGACACCCCCTCCCACACAGGCTGGGGGACCTGGGCCTGGAGCAGTTCAGCGTGTCTGAGCTCTTCTCCAGCATCCTGGTCCCTGGCTTCTTCCTGCTCGCCTGCATCCTGCAGCTGCACTACTTGCACAGGCCATTCATGCAGCTCACCGACCCCGAGCACCGCCCCCCGCCCAGTGCCCGCACCCTGCGCTGGACTCACAGGTGCGCCCGTCCTCCCTTCTGGGGCCTGGGGGTCTGCAGAGTGTCCCCTGAGCCCACACAGGGGAAGGCCGGTCTCGGGCGGGAATGGAGTCTGTACGGTTAGGGCGGGAGACCCAGAACAGGGTTGAGCCCTCGGCTGCTGCCTGCAGATGCTGGGTTCTCAGGTACTGGATGTTTTCTCCAACCCGCGGGGATCACGACGTCAAGCCGGGCCCCACTCTCCCACCTAGTGGCTGCAGCATAGGGGTCTCAGCGCCAGGGTGGGATGGCAGGTGGGCTTCTCTTGTCCTTGGGGAGGTGGGAATGGGAGGGCTGCAGTGCACCCCAGGAATGCGGGAGGGAAGGACACTTCAGGGTCCTGTCCCAGGCAGGACACGGTGAGCGGGACACCCCTGCTGCAGCAAGAGGAAGAGGAGGCGGCACCCAGAGACGAGGGGCTGGGCGTGACCGGCCCCCACCAGGCCATACAGGTCCCGGAGGGTAAGCTCAAGGTGCCCGGAGCCCCGTCAAGTACACGTAACGGGACGGCGCAGGCCACAGAGGCCCTATCACCCCCTCCTCACTGGCCCCCCAACCCCCCAGCCAGCAAGTGGGGCCTGGTGGCTGAGCGGCTCCTGGACCTGGCCGCCGGCTTCTCGGATGTCCTCACCCGCGCGCAAGTGCTCACGCGGCGCCTGCTAGAGCTGCACGTCTTCAAGATGGTGGCCCTGTACACCATGTGGGTGGCCCTGAAGGAGGTGAGTGTGGGCATGCTGAGGCACTCTTGCTGGCCTCCCTGGAGCCGGTACCGGAACGTGGCTGCAGATCGTGGGCCCATGGGGAGGGCGCAGCTCTGCCTGCCACTGCTCTACCGCCACTGCCCGCCTGCCCGCAGGTGTCGGTGCTGAACTTTCTGCTGGTTGTGCTCTGGGCCTTCGCCCTGCCCTACCCCCGCTTCCGGCCCATGGCCTCCTGCCTGGCTACCGTGTGGACCTCTATCATCATCGTGTGCAAGATGCTGTACCAGCTGAAGGTTGTCAGCCCCCACGAGTACGCCAGCAACTGCACCGAGGTACGGCCGCTGCTCCAGCTCGGGTGGAGGGACGGATGCCGAGGGCCTGTCCCTGGGGCCTGGGCTTCCTGCGGAGGACCCACTCCCTAGGTCAAGACATCTGGGTTCAGAGATGTCCCGACCCGGCTGACTTCCTGACGGAAGCGCAGGTCCTGGTGTGAGGGGCACAGAGGCCCGACGTCCACTGGAGGGAAGTGTGGGGCTGCTCAGGGAAGCCCACCCATAGATTCCTCTTCACTCTCCCAGCCCCTGCTGGTGGCTTCCCTGTCCCCAAACACCACCCATGTCCCCTTCCCCACTGAGGTGGGTTGAAGGCTGACAGCGCCCCGTGTCCCTGGTTGGGGACAGCTGTGCTCCGGCCCAGACCCGTCGGAGCCGTGGCTGCAGCGGGGGTGTCGCGTGGGGCTGGCGGTCCCTGGGGTCAGCGTCCGGTTCCCGGTGGGCAGCAGGTGCTGACGCCGCCCCTCCCCCAGCCCTCGCCCAACAGCACGAACCTGCTGAAGGTGGAGATCCACGAGTCCTTGCTGTACCGGGGGCCCATCGACCCCGCCAACTGGTTCGGGGTGCGGAAGGGCTTCCCGAACCTGGGCTACATCCAAGTGAG